AGAATTAGAATCAATATAATTTTATTATATGTATATATTTTGAAGTGACAAAATTCGTCTTAAATTCGGCTCTGTATGTTTATCTCATGATTTGTCTAATGTACTCCTTATTAAAAACTTTTTGCAAAAGCATCCATATCAAATATGATAAGGCTCATTTTACAAGATTGTGACAATTTTAAACAATATGACATGTTTCTTCATGTTATGATCTACTCAAATTTTTCTTTTTCTAATTTCGTACTATATAATTAATTTTATTTAGAAAGTACAAATTGCTTACAAACAACCAGAAAAATTCTATTATCCTACTTTTAATATGAAATATTTTATATTGTGTCATATTCTATTCTAACAAAAGCCAGTAAATGTACGAATTATTTTTACACAGACATCGAGTTCTCTCAATTTTTTCTAGTGACAACAAAGAAACATGATGTTGGTCAGTTCACTAAACACAAGATTAAACATTTCTTACTATCAATTTTATTAAAAGTACGTACTATAGTTCTTGTTCTATGGTATATATAGTACATAATATTTTGGGCAGAATGAAGGTATCTTCCTAGGAATTCCCCGTGCATATACCTAATTACAGTCTTTCTTACTTAAATATCAACTTTTTCAAGGAAAGTGAAACCAATAACTTAATGGCAATTAGTTATTTGGCTATTTTTCAACTCCATCTTTAAGTCTTAACTATGTGAAAGTACAATTTTTTATGATTATTTAGGTAAGTGATTAACGCAAAATCCACTAAACGGATGGATCAGTAACTGTAACTTGTAAGAACTGGTTTTCTGCAAACTAAATGCTAGTTACTCTTTAGTATACTTTAATATTATCAAAATTTGATCCAAATCAGCAGACCTGTCATAGATTATTAAGGAAAAAATACACAGTATAGTTGCTCCCAAAAATAGATAGCCGACAAAATATATAATTTTTTGTATATTAATATAAAATATATATAATATATACATATTAATTAATATTTGACTACCGTGTAATTATTTTCGGCCACCCGACCAAATGTGTGACTTGCTCATAGTCATTATTAAGCCATTGGGTTTCATAAAGGCCCATTTTTCTTCATATGTGCAATCATAGCATTTGATTTCTTTTGGGCCGTAAAATTCAAATTGGTCTCTTCAATTGATTTATGAAGTAATAAAGTGGATCATATATGGGCTTGGAGATTTCCAAAAAGGGCGATGTAGCAAATATTGGGTGAAGTACAAAAATAACCCTCAAAGTGAATGGTTTTGATTTTTTATTTCTGCTTGTCTTATGGGCTGAACTTCAAGTTTAACAAGTGTTTGCCCCTTGCTTATAGTGTGGTCAATACTTTTAACTTTGACCTTGAAGTTCTGCTCATTGAGCAAGTGGGGGGTCAAAAGTCACTCAAAAAAGTGTCATATTTCTATATTTTTTGGCAAATATTCAAAGAAATATCGTTACAGGAAATTAGTTGAAGGAATCGAATAAAAAGTAGTTCTTTACATAAATAGCTGACCGGATTTAGTATTTATGTTTCATAGCCAATATATATTAATTATACATAGTTATATATAATATAAGTTCATTATTTATTTATTATACATTGACCGACTATTTTAATTTAAGCGGTGCGATGAGTTACTGTTTGGGTTAGTATTCAATAAGAAGATCTAAGATTGATGTTGACTTCACTTAATACCAACTTAAAAGGAAAAAAATGAAATGACATAAAAGGCCTCCTTTTCTATTGGGATTACGTTATATGAACCTCTAACATAATTCACCTTTAGGCAATTAACTTGTGTGGAGATGACATTAGGTAGCCACTTTTAAGTATGTTTTTTAAAATATATTCACAGTTTATTATGTATTTAAAAATTAGCTAATTTCGCTCAAATTTCAGGACACGACGTCGTAGAATTTAAACCTCAAAATTTAAATATAGTTCGAAAATTGTGTCCTGAAATTCGAATTTTATGTCTTGAATTTTAAATTAGTAGTTCAAAAATTCAGGACGTGTCCTATAAGTTCGAAAATTGTGTCGAGAAGTTCGAATCTTATGTTCTGAATTTTAAATTGGTGGTTCAAAAATTCATGATACTTAATCTTGAATTTCAATTTAGCAGTTCAAAAATTCATGATACTTAATCTTGAAGTTTGGATGAATTGGCTAATCCTTAAATACATTGTAAATTGTGTATATATTTTAAATAGCGGGCTTAAAAATGGCTGTTGATGTACTTGGCACTTAACTTGTTGGGTACTGCCTACTGGACTAGCATATTGGCCCGACAAAGAAAATATATTATTAATATTTACCAATTAATAAAATATTATTATTAGCCAATTACTTACAAATGCTACCAAATTTAGCCTTAATTCCTTTCAAGGAAATACTTCGTTGAGCAGGCACATATGTGGTGTCCTAGTACACTTTAGTTCTCCCAATTCCAGGGCAGTTCCTTTCTCTAGATGCTTTATACTTTAGTGACAATTATACTCATTAAGTTAATATAATAATGTCAGAGTTTTATTTCTGCTTGCTTGGAAATTATTGTGGAATGAGAATATTATTCTGGAATCTTATCATCTCATCGTTATATTTTCTAAAATCATTATAAAACTATAAGCCTATGTCCCTTTACAATATTGTGAGGCCCATCAAAGTAGAGAGCCAAGTCCACATGATACAAAATTACAGATGAAATTGCACTTTCGACTTTATAGTTAATAATAGAAATTTTTACCTCCTATAGCAAAGGTTAACACCTTATTTATTTTAAATAAATACCATTTAAAAAAATTATATTCTATAGATATCTTTTAAGGTTTATAGCAAAATATTTAATTTTGGTTACCTCCTAAACCTAAGCCACTGAATACGCTAATCAGTTACACTTTTTTTTTCTCTCTTTACTTTGATACATCTCATTCTCTTCCCCCATCCCATTAAAATTTCCGATCTACTCCTCCTTCCACTGGAGCTCCTTACGAATTTTGGATCGGAGTAACTGCTTTTTCTGGAAAATAGCTTCGAGCTGGCGGGGATAGTCCACGAATAAAAGGCGAGGATTTGGGTTTGGGTGTAACATAATGGAACACAATGAAGGTGCTGCTATCTTGCACGAATTGGACATCAGCGCCATTGCTGCCTTGTTAACTAACTTCCCTGCTCTCATAAGCAATCATGGAAGTTCTTTTTTCTCTCACAACGCCAACAGGAATTAGGATTGGGATCGGAATATTGAGGGTGTATAATGCCCATAGCTCTATTTCTCTAATAGTCGAAGGAATTCTAAATTTTGCTTCTTCGGGGATTTTAATCTACATGGCACTCGTTGACATACTAGCATCAGATTTTATGAAGGAACTTTTACCTTCTATATTCACTGTTATTTTGTTCTCATTGTATTTCAATGTATCATGCTGTATTCTATGTATTTCATTATATTCACTGTCTCGCTATGTATTCATAAGTTTTTTTTAATTAATATAATTTATGTATTCAGATGTATTATATAATTTCTCTGAAGATTGCTATGTTTTTGGGGTATTTTTCGGTTGAAAATCTTTTTTATAACTGAAAATACAAAATTTGTGTGTTATAATTGAGTTTGTTGAATTATATTAGGAGTCTATTATGTTAATTGATTCACTTTCCGTTTTAAAAATAGTGTAATCCCCTATTTCACGCCGTGAATACAGTCGAATACAATAATATATCCAGTTGTAATCCATGTTTCACTCCATGAATACAGTCGAATACAACAACTGATTAGCCGGACTTCCGTGATTCACGCCTATTTTTGCTACTGTATTCATGAATACAATGACTTAAATACATCAAATACATCTTATAACCACATAAAAGGTATCTATAATCCGTAATATAGCAAATGGTATCTATAGATGGCTAATTACTACTAAAAGATAGTGCTTTATGAAAATTAGGGGTGTACATAAACCGTGTTAGTTCGGATTTTACAATTACCAAACCAAACCAATTGTGTCGGGTTACTAAATCTAAAGACCAAACCAAACCAATAAAGCTTGGGTTTTTCAATCTCGGTTTTTCTCGGGTTTTCGGGTTATTCGGATTTTTTCAATTTTTTTCCGATAAAATCTTCATAGAACAAAACATATAACGTATGCTCAAAATATTTCTTTAATCCTAATAAGATACAACTATATAAAGAATTTTCCAAGAAAATAATATAAAATATGAGATGTGTCATGGCATTATCCCAAAATATTCAACAATAAATTATGTAATATAAATATTGCTAATTAAGAAGCCATAATAAAAATAAACATAATCTAAAGGTACTAAGTCATGTTAAATAAATAGACTAATAAGGAAGTATTAATTACATGAATAAACGCTAAAGAAAAATAAAAATAGGTTATGCATTTTTATCTAAATTATTGCAAAACAAAAAATAGATATTCAATACATTCCCGTCCGTAATATTAAATTAAAGATCTTTTGTTAGCATTAGTATTTATTTGATTTTGGTTTGAGCTTTTGTTGGCATTATTTAATTTACTAATATTAATGGCTAAACATTCAAAAGTTCTAAGTCCAACCTTGAAACAATACCTTAAAAATATAAAATAATGAAATTTTTTAAGAAATATTTATAAATTACATCACAATAAGTATATTTATATATTAAATATATCTAAAATTTCTATATATATAATGTCGGGTTGGTTTGGTTTCGGTTTGACTTTCTTTAGTTAAAACCAAACCAAACCAATTATGGTCGAATTTTTTNTCTATATATATGTAATGTCGGGTTGGTTTGGTTTCGGTTTGACTTTCTTTAGTTAAAACCAAACCAAACCAATTATGGTCGAATTTTTTTTCCAACACCAAATCAAATCAAACCATAGACGGATTTTTTTTCTCGGTTTGACTCGAATTATTGGGTTAGTGCGATTTGTTGGTTTTCTTTGTACATCCCTAATGAAAATTTCTCTAAATAATAATACTAGCATTAATAGACTAGGAAATGAACCTTTTCCATTACATGGAAAACCTAAAGAGGTATTAATACAATGAGTATATATACTCTCAGAAAAAGCTCGAACGACTTTTATCCGAAACCAACACAGGCAAGTAAGTAGATAGTGCCTCATCGCACGGGATAACTTTTTCTAAGGAACTCGGCAAAATAACCACATAACTTCGAGAAGAGGTGCCTCCTCACAAAGACAGTTACTTAATTTAACTACCATAAGAGATTATTAAGTTGAGATGAAGCTTGTGAATCCTCTTCATCAAGTGATGGAGAGTGAACATGCCTTCCTTCATATGTTGTAATCACCATTCTTGGATCTTCAGCTAATCTTTCCACCCTTTTCTTAACTCTACAATTATCTTGTGTACACCGGTAATAGCTCCTGCAACACATAATCATATTAAAAATTAGTAACCTAGAAATCTTCTGTTTGAAATTTGATGAATAATGGACCCACCCTTCTACTATTTTTTATTTATGTACCAAACTTTTATCTCCGTAGAATTCGAATTCATGAGGTGCGCTTAACCTACACATCATGCGACGAAAGCCCGGAACAATTTTTTTTAATTCTATACCACAAAGGAAATGGTCTAGAACAAGGCAGACAGTTCAATATATATCCTCAAATTTGACTAGAAATGTCTTAATATAATGAATTGCAGCAAGCAACAGGAAATGTCATAAAGTTTCTCGTGTTGTTATGTCTATTCTTATCTTTGAACAGGATTTTTATTTATACACTTGTGGTGACAACTGCCAAAACCTGCAAAGTCCCTAGTCTATGCATATTCTAGTAGATTTGGGGACTGACTATAATTATTTCATTTTGTTCAGTATAGGACGACACGCGAATCTGCATCATCCTGATATTTGACCATAAATAACCCAAAAAATATAAAAGAAAAAGAAGAATAAAAACAAAATAAAATTAAGAGCTTTTTCTTGTTTAGTATATATATAAATATCTATGTTGTGCGGACTCCCACAAATGTATCCGCACACACGGCAACATTTCCGGAGAGTTCGAATGCGCGCGCTCTCTCTCTCGAAAAGATTCATAAATATTGTTTCTGAAGCGTTGAACATAGTTGATAGTATTATACTTGGGAGATAGCACTAGCTTATAATTCAACTAAGATTAAATCTTGGACCAATTTATTTTGAGATCTAGATAGTTCCAACCAAAAATTCACCTCAACGCATTTGATTTATTCTAATTGGACTTCCGTGTTGGATCCTTCAAAAAATGCAATACTTTTGAAGAATTCAAGACGGACCTGACGATATTTTTGAAAAGTCTAGACAACAAAGTCTTTGACCACTATAATGTCTTATTTCTTGGTTAATTACTCTTTTCTAATGAAATGTTCTTATTTTTCACTTTACAATAGATATTAATATGATAATAATATTTTTCTGTAATTCTATAGAAATCAACCCCGGGAAGTGAGATTCAAAATAATTAAGCAATGAAGCTAACTTAAGATATATATAACTTAAACGTTAGAACACTTTGATAATGCAATATAGAGATGTTGGTAGGGCAATGTTGTGCCTTTACCTAGTACAACAAAAAGGTAAAAAGATGAGGAAATTGAAATCAAAATAGTGCACAAACAGATATATAGAAATTGCAAACTGGCAATTGCTGGATCCATTATCACTAGTCATTCACTAAAAACAGTGGGCTCCCTTGTGCATCTCATATTGTCGTTTATGTAAAAAGTTGTTACACTTTTAGTAATTTAAAATGAGTTTAATAATTTAGATACCGATAATACAAAATAATTTTTATACTATTATACGAACAAAAGAAAAATCAGACTAAGAATGACTCATACAAATTTCACATCTATGAGAGACTAGCTCACTCACACACGGGATAGGTGATTGGGAAAATCGATTTATCAGTATTACGATCTAGATGATTAATAGTGGAAGTAGTAATTTTGGAAAATAATTCAGACAAACTTACTTTCTACAATACGTTTAAAAACATCAATAGTGTAAATTCTAATCAAAATTCTTCTCTTTCTTGGCGATGTTACATGGACTCTCCAACATGTTGTTGTATCTGTGCGGATCCTCCAAAATGCACTACTTTTGAAGAATCCAACACACACCAGCAGCATTTCTAAAGAGTCAAAGCAACATAACTATGTTGTGGCATGTGGTTAAAAGGAGACAGTAGTATAGCAAAGCAAACTCCTGAATAAAGAAGAAAGCTCAATAGTAGTAATCATTCAAACAATAAAAAAGTTTCAACTTACTATTAACCTAAAGCCAAATCATGCAAAGAAGAGATCCTCAATGGGATTCTCCCCATATCAAACTTTTAGATGTAAAAAAAGTGATCATCATTTCCATTTTCTTTTTCTTTTTTATTTCTTAGGGTTTTCATATGCTAAAATGCATGTTTTTTTTTGTCTCACCACATGGTTCTTTCATTTAGTAGAAGCATTAACAATGCCAGTCTTGATGATTTGTCCCAAATTTTAACTAAAAGAATATCCATAATCATATGATGAGATTTTAAATGAATCTTTTTTCACTTGCAACAAGTTTTGCAATCATTTTTCAAATAATCCTAATTAAAGACTGTCAAGATTCAGCTCTGCCAATACGATCTGATTTAAGTTCTGAAACATGGCCCAAAAAGCTATCATTTCATGAGTACCAAGTTAATATTAGTTATTCAAATGATTTTCTATCTTTTGAGGTTAATAATAACACTTCCTTTAACTCTCTCTCTCTCTCTCAGGAAATTACCTACATAATATCCTTAGCTAAACCCAATCTAATCTACTGAAGCTTTAATAGTATCAGCAGCTAATGCATTGTTCAGGGTGGAGATTAAAGAGCAAGAAGATTTTAGCTTCAAAATATTAATCGGCCTAATGACTGACTAGTGGATAAAAGTGGCTAAACAATTAATTTTTGGATTTAAAAATACAAAAACAAAAATGATAGGCACTATATTTTATCGATGAAAACGGAGGAAGAGAGCCTTGGAATAACGGAAAATTATCTCTGTGTGATCTATAAGTCAGCCAAAGTATGTAGGATCTATAGGTCACGAGTTCAAGCCAATGATGTAGCCACTAATACTTGCAGTAAGGTAGGTTGTCCACATCATACTGCTTGGGAGTTCGGCCTTCTCCGAATACCACGTGAACATGGAATACTTTATGCACCGGGTTGATTTTTTTTTTTTTTAAGATGGAGCTAGAGAATTCCATGGAAGGAGTAGCCATTGTTTGGAAACTAACAAATAAAGAATAAAGAAGAGGTTCAGAATGGGAAGAAGTTAATAATAGGTACCTGGGATGTTGGGTATTTTTGACAACTTTCTGGCCATATTTTCTCCATTTATAACCATCATCCAACACATCCACATCACTCAGAGTCTTGAAACAAAATCTTGGTTCTCTTACTTTCCTTCTTGATGATTTCATCTTCTTCATCTTAATTGCTGAAACCCCTAAATGATCATCAATAATATTGTCCCTTGATCTCTTAACATTGCTCCTCTCATTCACTTCTCCCCATGCCCTAGAATTAATTCCAAAACCATCTCAAACATATAAGACTATGACTTCTAGACATGCAAATTAACAAAAACTAACCAACTTAGAGTCAACTATATGAATCCTTATCGATCATCATCATACTAACCAAATAAATAAAAGGTATTTTTGCATGTGATATAAATTAAATTTTGAAAGAAGTATTAATATCATTTTCCTAGAGAAAAGGTTAAGACATATGTATTAAAGATTACCATGTATTTGCAGTGGCTTTTTGCAAGGAAAGAAGATGGGGTCCTCCAAATATAGAAGTAGTAAGATCTTCTTTCTGCCTTAGAGCAGTAGATTCAATTAGGGAATTATTATCTGCTGCAAAAGAGGGAGGGATTATAGTGAGGGTTTTAAGAGTATTTTGGTTGCATATTCCAAATGGTAGAGTAGTATTGTTGTTGTTTGGAGGAAAAGTGAAAAATCCATACTGTTGTGATGACATATCAGCTTGATCCTCAAATAAACTCTGGCTAAACATCTCTCTCTCTCTCTCTTTAGTTCTCTCTCAGTATGTGTGAAGAAGCTCAGCTATAAGAGAGAGCAGGCAATTTGGTTTTCTTATAAAAGAAAAAGACTTTGAAACTGTAAGGGCAATAATATTTGGTAACACACCAAAGAAAAGAGAAGATGATCTTTATATGTACAGTTTAGGTTAAAAAGGAACACAATAGCTCCTCCTAACGTGTCAGCTACGTAGAATATATGAAATCTTTATGAGATTTGTACTCTTAAAAATACGAAAGATTATTTGCTATAACAAATAAAGATCATCGGATAGTGAAAGTAAATTTTCTTTTACTAATGGTGTATATAATTTAAACTCAATTATATAATATCCTTTTTGCCATAGATGATATTTCAATATTAACTTTATAATATACTTGGAAATTCTTAATTTTTAAAAAATAAATCTTCAATTCTATATCTAAGTGAAATTCATATCAAAACTCTTTTTCTAAATGTCAAATATATATTTTCTTCCATTTCACAATAGCTCGCACCTTTTCTTTTTCATCTCCTCGTTATAAGCTGGTCTACCATAAAAAGTAAGAAGGTTTATTTAAAGGATCAGTAAGAAAGCTAAAATTATAAGTTGAAAAAGAAAGGAAAAAAAGAACTAAGTGATGTGCTACCACTTAGAGTGGGTTTTCTAAGCAAAGTCAATTAGATTTAAATTGTACTGCATGTTGCAACTTTAACCTAAAAGCAAAGGTAAATCCATATTGTACCCAAAGGTCAACCAAATCAAAACAGTATGGAGATTGGAGGGTGAGAACATGGGAGCTTTTTACATGTTTTAATGCTCTGTGTTTGTTTCTTTCTTTGCCTTTTTTGTCCAAAAATTAGAGTGACTTTTTACATTTGTTGCATTGAAGTATTATGCCACTCATTCGTTTTTTTTAAAATATTACTATGAAATCTTTAATGGATCCAATGATAAAAGGGAAAGGGCAAGGAGATGAGTACAAAATAATGGAACAGAAACTTGATACAAAGTGGAGGAAAAAAAGGCGTTAATTCATGATAGGCCTATGGTCTCAAAAGGGAAAGAGAGGAAGTTCAAATACTATGCTATATGAGTTTCAAAAACTAGAGGCGGAATCAGGATTTAAAACCTATAGTTCAAATACTATGCTATATGCTACTAGGTGCGGTCGAACCTGTAAATAACATGATGGCTCTGAACCTGCCAAAACCTATCCCATATTAAGGGTGTGTTTGCTATACAAAATAATTCTGCAAAATATTTTCTCGAAAAATAAGTGATTTTCTTACTTATTATCTGGTGTTTGGATAGTAAGCAGATAATAATTTTGGAAAAATATATAATCTAGCCAAAAACTATGAAAGACGGAATGGGTGAGTATGGAGAAGGAGCGGGGCAATAGGGGTAGTAGAGATCAGGGGGTCATAAATGAGGTTGGGGTAGGGGTCAGGATTCAATGGTCAAGGTCATGTCTGAGATCAGAATCCATGGTCAAGATCAAAGTTGGGGTCGGGACAAGTTCGAGGTTGGGGTTGAGATGTGAAGTTAGGGTGGGGGTCATAGTCTAAGATTAGGGTCGGGGTTGGATCAAAAGTAAGGGTCAAGGTCCGGGTTTGGGAACAGGTCCGAGGTGGGGAGTTAGGGTCATGTACGAAATTCAGGGTCAGGTTTGGGATCTAGAGTTAATGTCAAAGTTGGGGTCCAAGGTCGATTAGAACAGAGTCGTACGCCAAGGCCGGGTTCTAGGTTCGAAATCAGTGTTGAGTCGAATTCAGTGTCGGGATCTGGGGTCATTGTCGGGACCGGGTCTTAGGTTAGGAATCGTGGTCGAGTTTGATTTCAAGGCTGGGGTTAGGGTCCGATGTCGGGGCTAGGGGCGGAGTCGGATTTAAAGTTGGGGCTCTAGTCGAGGGTTAGGTCGGGATTGGGATCTAGGGTAGGTGTTAGGCCTACGGTTGAGATCTGGGTTGGATCTAAATTCATTTGTCGGGGTCGTAGTCCAAGTTTAGAATTGGCAGTTGGGTTGAGGTTGGCATTTAGGGTCAGTTCCTGGGTCAGATGTGGGGGTTCGGGGCTTGTGGCGCCTAGTGGGTAGAGGGTGGACCGAGTTGTTGAGGTGGGATGGTAGGTGGTGTAGTGTCGGGGTGGGGTACCATGAGGGGGAAGGTTAGTGTGTGGCCTANGGGAGTTTGGAAATGGTGGGGGTGGATTGGGGTATGGGTGTGGGGATGGTTCAAAGAGAGTTTTTTAAATGCTTTCCCTTCTCCTTGTAGGGAAGTCATTTTCCCTAAAATATAGGAAAATGAGTTAACAAGAAAAATATTTTCCCAAATATTTAAGTCAACCAAATAAAAAAAATTAATAAATATTTTTTTGAAAATATTTATCTTCATACCAAACAAACCCTAAGTTTTCACATTTAATAATTTTGAATTTCTTTAAATTAGAGGAATATGAGTTCACAAGAAAAGTATTTTCTCAAACATTTAAGTCAACCAAACATAAAAAAAATTAGATTTTCTGAAAATATTTTTCTTCATACCAAACATACCCTAAGATTTTTTACATTATCAAGTGATCTTAAAAGATTGGAGTTTGTGATTTGTGAAACTAATAATATAAAGATTAATGTGGGTAACATAGTACAAAAGGTAACTACTGGGATTTGAATATCTACCTCAACCGTAGAAGGTAGAGAATTCACCAAGTGAGCTAGCCCTCAATTCCAACTTTAAAATACTAGTTTAAATTATTTTTTACATTGATATTATATAGTATAAGTTAAGGATTTAAGTAATATATACTAACAACGCAAAGATATTCTTTACACTAAGGGGCGTTTGGTAGGATGTATGAGGAAAAATATTAATATAACTATTAGCTTTAGTATTACTAATCTCTTGTTTGGTACTAATTTTTAACCTATATAACTAATACTTATATTAGTTATACACTCTATTAATACTATTCTTACACATAGCAAATCATGGGATTAACAATATTATGATTTTTAATACATGAATAAGCATGGATAAAGTTAGAACTATCCTTTTAAAACTTTTAATACACAAAACTAAACTACCAATAAGAAATAATCCTAGTAGAATTGATCCTAGCATTACTTATCTCACTATTACGAATACACTTCTATTTAATACTATTCTTATACACCCTATCAAATGACCCCTAAGTGAATTTTAACCTATAATAGAAAGTGTTACCTGCATTTTTATAAGATTATCAATTAATTCTTATTAATCATTTTGTCTGTAATTATTTATTTAAGTGACATAATTGTGCAAATATTTTTTGCACCATCAATCCATAGACCATAGAACTTAAACTCATAAGCTATCCTTCACACAAATGAACTTTGCACTTAGAGATATGGCCTAACTGTTATTAAAGTGAGTAAAAAAGTTACGGAAGACTAATATTCATATTCCAGTAAAGACAAGTAATACAAACTTGCCCATCACTTTTATTTTAAAAAAGTAAACAAAACAACTTGTGAAAACTGAAAATTGAAGTTGGGAATACGTAGATATAGGAAAATTTTATTTTGTGTCTCATACAACTTACACTAGTTGTATGAGATAACTTTTTTGTCTCACAGTTTTGTGGACCCAGATTTCTGTGGACCCAGAAGTGTAAGATTGGGGTTCGCAAATTTGTGAGACAAAAAAGAGCCTCATACAACTAGTATAAGTTGTACGAGACACAAAATAAAACTTCTTAGATATGTATAGGGGTTGCTTTTTGTATCAGCATGTAGGTTTTCTTTATGCCATCAAAAAAAGCACAAAAAATCAAGAGCAATGATAATGAATCTTGGTTGCAAATCTATACCTCTGTATCTCAGCTGAAGATATCATTATGATAGATTGAAAGGCAAGGGCCTATTTGACTTTTTGGCTGCTATATAAAAGCTTCTTGCCTTTTTCCTCTCTACTTTCGATATATTATTATTCCAACACCAACCACCAACAATTAGTTAATTTTCCTTGCTTTCTTTTAGTTCCAAACAACCCTATAATATTGTTATGATCTCTTCAATTGCACACATTAATCTATGTTAACTTTGGTTTACAAAAATACCATCATATTCATTGAACAATAATGCTTTTTACATAGTTTCAACAGCCTAATTAATTAGTTTAACATTGATGGGTCAATCAAGTTCATCTGATTGGCTCGCAAATATTCACTTTTTATACTTTTTATATCACTGTTATCATTGCAGCACTTGTGCTTATGAATTCCGTACTAGAAAGAAATAATGATCATTTTATAGGAATATATAAATGAATAAGGTAAGATATATAAAAAGAAAATTAGGTTTATATTCAAAATTCTAGATTAAATAAGCCCGACCATTTCGTTCAGTAATTATATATAGAGAATTTGTAAATGTATTTAGGAGTATTATTAGACCAAAAAAATTTAAAAGATATAGAGATGCACAACTATACCTCCTCTCTTGTACTACTACTTCTGTTGATACTACTATATCAAATTTTATGGGAATGGATTGGTTCCTTTTATCCTTAATCAAAGGCATCAGATTCGAACCCTAAATATAAATTCTAATAAGGGGGGTTCTCTTGTTAATGGACCTTACATGATGAAAATTCAGATTAGTGCGGAACCTAATCGGATACGGATGAGAAACAAAAAACATGTGAAAACACATGAGATTTCTACTACAATATTTAGGTGTTTAACCAAAAAATGAAATTTTAGTCAAAGTTGGAATTTAGAAGAACACGGATTACTGATAATCAAAAGAATGTATAAGAGGAAGTAATTTTAGGTAGCAAGAGAGTAATCAAGAAAAACAAGTAAACCAAAGTTTATTCCAATAGTGTTTTGTGTCCTTACAATTGATGAGATATCTCCCTTTTATAGATATCTTGGAGATATACGTTTTACCCAAATCATAATGAGGCTATTATAAGTAATTAAAGACATTGAATGCTACGTTACATAATCATTACATTCAATACAAATTCTTTAACGTATTCCACATTTAATGCCTATTAAATGCCATATCTGCACTCTTTTCTATTGTCAGATTCATTCCTTTTGATTCTCGGACATAAATGGCTTA